ATAAATAGTTCATACTGTAACCAAAAATCTAAAAAATATATGAACACAGTTATTTTTTACAGACATTTTAAATTCAAATTTGGACGAAATTACATAATAAAAAAACCTAGAATAACTATTTTAGTTATTTTGTTGTGATTGTTTAATGTTATTCGTGGGTACTTGAAACTTCTAAAGTATAGTATTATACATCTTTGATAGTATCACGGTTTGATGTTAATGTATAATGAGTTATAAGTACCTATGGATATTGTGATAATATGTCTTATACCTAGACTGACATACCGTCTCCGCTCAGAATCGTTTTTCTTATACAATGATATTATATCTTTGAATTCAAATTTAATACCATCCATTATACATTTATACAGTGACCCACTTGTAACCTACTGTACAGTAAAGCACCTTTTTGATAATGTTATTGTACATTGTACATTATTTATTTATTTATTAAACATACAATACCGTGCTTAGGTGACTTATTAGTGTTTATTAGACTTAGTGCTTATTATTATTTAATAATAAATACAAATATCTGTAAAAAAAAATGGTGGGGAGGGGGGAAACTTGGTAGGTCGTAACCGCTCTGCTATACAGTTGTATGTGTCGAACCTCTTCATGGCATTTTTGAGAAGTCAACATTTAGAATTCTTCTTAGCTGATAAATGTCTATAAGAAAGTCAAATTAAATTTTTATGAGCATTTGAAATTCAAATTTTTACAACATTGAATATTCACTCGATTTCCCATGTAGCGATTTCCTTATTTTGTTGTAATTCAAAAACATATAACTGTAGATACATGAAAATTTCACTGAATGTTTATATTAGCATTTCCTATACACCATACAATTTTGAAAATATTTTGACTCTTTTTGAGCTGTTTATGGACATTTACAGCTTTCAATTTTTTTTAGTTTTTTTTTCTATAAATATCAATAAAGTTTTATCTGTTGGGCCAAAAAGTGTAAAAATTTAATACAAGGCTCCTGATATATTGTTACAATAGCAGTTGAAAAATATTAAAAATACATAGGCACAGTTTTTTTTTATAAGCATTTAAATATCAGATTTTGACAAAATTTATCAAAATCTCGAAAATTATCAATCATTGAAATTAATAAATTATAAAATGTTCAGTTTTTATAGCTAAGGATTGCAAATTTAAAACAAAGGTTCTCATAAATAGTTCATACTGTAACCAAAAAATCTAAAAAATATATGAACACAGTTATTTTTTACAGACATTTTAAATTCAAATTTGGACGAAATTACATATTAAAAAACCTAGAATAACTATTTTAGTTATTTTGTTGTGATTGAATAATATTATTCGTGGGTACTTGAAACTTCTAAAGTGTACTATTATATATCTATGATAGTATCACGGTTTTTGTTGATGTATAACGAGTTATAAGTATTAAGTACCTAATGGACATTGTGATATGATTAATTTGGAATTTATTATAGGTACCTATTATAGGTCAATTTTTTGTTTAATACCATAGATATGTATATAATATGTCTTATACTAGACTGACATACCGTCACCGCTCAGAATCGTTTTTCTTATACAATGATATTAGATCATTGAATTCAAATTTAATACCATCCATTATACAGTGACCCACTTGTAACCTACTGTACAGCAGAGCGACACCCACTTGCCCACCTTTTTTTATTCTTTGTTTTTACACTTGAGTCGGCATATTATTTATAATTAAATAATACCAATATATTATTGTACGGGAGGTGCCAACACAGTAATAACTAACAACAGTAATAATAGTAATAACACACTAATACACTAATACTATAGTAATAATTACAATTAACCAAATTACATAAAATAAAATATAACAAATTTAAGGTAGGTTTAAGGTGATTTAATGAAGCGATAGTCGATAACGAAATGAAACGAATAATAAATACGAGGAGTCGTGAAAAAGCAATAATGAAATGCGTCGCGTACACAAAATGGAAGGGCGAACCGGTCAGCACGACAACACGTTTTTTGTACTTAGCTGGCGCCACGACACTTTGAATTCTCTTTCGTGTGGAGGGATTTTTATTTTATTTTTTTTTTTTTTCGTTAAAACACAAAGGCTATACTCACCCCATGTAGTCCAGCTCGCCCGCTCGCACACCTAATAGTATAATATGGACTCCAATGTCGGTGTAAATTGTCGTTAAATCTTTATATTCACATGACAGCGACAAAGGAGAAGCCGAACCCTAACCTAACCGTGCATAGTTCCGGGAATTTTACAACGAAAAATATTTAATACAATATCCCGGCTACCGCAGTGCTCCTATAAGATCAACCATGTGCTGGAAAATCTCCAACGTTTAGTCTACGTAGGCTTTATGTTGTGGACCGCTGCTGTTTTTTATTTGTTTATTTCGTATTTTCTTTGCAAGTATTATGAAAATGTATTATAAAATATTATGAGAAATTAGAAAAAGAATAATTTTAAGTATTTTTAAAAATGTATTAATACGTCATACTCATATTATATATTTCTTAATTATATATGTTTTCATTTTTATATTTTTAAGAGTACCTATACAATAATATACAGTTATACAATAGTTATAACAAATTAATTTACTTAACTTAAGAACATGTTCTTAAATCATATTTGAACTATCTTAAGTGCATAAATACATGCATATACTCGTATTTTAATACAATTTGATATCATTAATTTCCAAAACTAAATTAAACTACTTATTAGTTACATTTTTGTTAATTCTCGTAAATCGCATGTTTTGTGTGTGTTATTATTAAAAAAAAATCCACTGATACTGAACCCTAGCTATTCAGCTTGAATTAATATATTAGAGTAAGTTACGTTAGATCAAGTTTAACAAGGTTTAACAAGGTATGATTGAACATTTAAACTATATAGCTTTAATAGAGGAAGGTCAAAATCATATAGGTAAAAAAATTAAACAAATATTTTATAGGTCATAAATTTTAAGTGGTAAATAAATTATAAGCTAGTTTCGTTTTAAGTTCAAAAAAAGATAAATATTTTTTAAGGGTGAGAAAAAAATAATTTTGTTGACGGCAATAAAAATGTATCTCCAATAAACCATGACCACATTCTCCCCCCCTCCCTCCGACATCAGAGTATTTATTACACACATCTCTTTTTTATAATTTACAAAAATAATGTAAGATTTCAATAAAAAAAAACAATTTACAATTAGCAAATCATTACAATTAAACACTTTCTACAACTTTATTTAAATAATATTATTTAATGCAGCGATTCTCAATCAATGATACTATAGTACCACTAGTGGTACAAGGAAACCTCATAGGTGGTAATGTGGTATAATACTTTGAAGGAGAAAAATATTAGAATTATTATTTATACTTATTGAATATTATAATTTATAATATACTTTAATGTTGTACAACTCGTACAACTTATACGTGCACATTTTGAAATTTTCAGATGGTACTTATTATGAATTATGATATAAATAGTTAAGAACTGCAGTGCTGGTTTAATGTAAATTTTACATTTTAAGTACCTACACACAATAAAAGTTTCAGATGGAATAGATATTATAGTACCTATATGATTTTATGAGTACCTTTTTATTGCACATTAGTAGTGTTTATTAATTTTACTTCAAAACTCTTAGTCCTAACATAACTTATAAAACAATATCACCAACTGACATTGATAGTAAAAGTTATAATTTTGTCATTATTATATAGGTTGTTAAGATTAAACACAAAACATAAAATAATGAATGCTTAAACGAAGTATTTTGTTATCTTATTGTTAATATTTCATATTAAAATAACAGTCAGCGTTACTAGCCAAAACTGACTTCCGTTTTTACCATAATTCTGCATTATAAATAAGCAACAAACTCTAACGCTTGCAAAGAACAATTATGTGTGACTATTCAAATTCTGATTACAATGCTCATTTGAATAAACTGAATTTTCAATGTGTTCCATAGTCGGGCTAGTCCATAACCAAATAAATATTCAGATAATTCAAGAGCCAATATTACCAAAAGAAAATCATAATGTTTTCACGGAATGCCGAATAGATTTGTTATTTAAAGCCAAAATGGACCTATGGACTACAACTTTAGGGTTCAACAAAAAAATCCAACTTAAACAAAATCCAAGCATTTCGAAATATCGCAGACTATAAAGTTATAATCGATACTTCTTTATATCTAATCAAGCCCTACATAAAATATCTTAACATTAAATACATTTAAGAAAAAGAAATAATTTTTAAAACCATTTTTTTTTTGTAGATCAGAAAGTTACCAAAATTCTCTTATAAAGACCTATTTACCCAGACCCTTCCTGGAAATCCCTACAATAGACTAAAAATAAAATGATGTCGTGACCATTTAATTTAAACTTTTTTTTTTTTAGGTATTATAAGTTATAACCCCAAACTAAGTGTCACTAATGGGTGGCTTTTTGCTCACGCAACCCCAATTTGTTCCCCTCTCATCAGTCATTACTAGCTTATATAAATAGGTAGGTACACAATATGTCATAAAGATTGCATATACTCTTTTAAATAAAAATAAAAATAATTGTATTAATAATACTATTATTGTGATAACTATATTTTAAGAAGAGGTATTTAACTGAGTTTATTTTTAGTAAATGTATTATCATAAATTACATATTATGTATATGGTAATAAAGTATTTATTGAATTATTGACGATAAATAAAATACTTTTTATTTACTGTCGAAACAAAAAAGCTACTTACAACTTACTATGTTATAAATTATTATATACCTAATATATACATTAAAATTACTTAGGTAATTATATTCTAATAAGAAATAAGTTATTATTTTTACTATTTAATATAAATAATTTATAAAATTGTGACTTCTGAAATCTGAGTAAAATAGCTTATGCTCAGAGCCTTAATAAATAATATTATGTACTTATTTCTTATGTTCTAATGTAATAATATCACATAATTATACATTACTTTTTAACTGGAGCTTCATTATTTGATGATTTGCTAATATCAAGTTCAATTTGTTTTCTAAACAGACAAAAACCAAATCATAATTTATTACTTGTTGATATTATTTATTATGATTTATAGAAATAATATATTTTAAAAAGGATAACAGATGAACGGGATATTATTTTAATACTGATTTTCTACGCAAACTGAAGCTCTAATTTGTGTATAGCATACAAATATTATGTATTTTAAAAATTAGCTCGTGTGCCAGCATACACAACAGAAGGGAATACGTACTCGAACGAAAATTTATTTTAACTTTAATTGGAATTTAAATATTTAACATAAATTCCGTATGTAAGGATTAAAATTCGTCTTTTTTCCTAGAGCCTTGAAAAATGTGGAAAAATTGGGCAATATTAAAATAATACATTTCCGAAAAAAAACCGGTTTTCGGAAAATTAAAAACCGTGAATACTATAGGCACACTTATAGCTATAAATTATAATATATGATTCGCTTTACCTACATTACTCTGCAATATCCTATACATATTAGATAATTCTGTCTACGGGAAATTGATGATCTATAGTTTCATGTCCCGCGAACAGAATTGAAAAATATCTATAAAGTATACTGTGTAATATGGGAGATTTGATTATACAGTCTACCCTGTTTTCGACTTCCCATGGTATATATTTTAATATGTACAATATTATATCTAGTATAAATGAAAAATAATAATTCTTTTTTTTAATTTACGCTGAGCATTAAATGAGTTAAACGGTCCGCTGTCGTCCGTATTCGCTTCAAATATATCATAATAATATGTCGTGTAGAACGGATGTCAATCGCACGTTCGTATACAGTTTTCGTAAACGGAAGTATAGTTGCTTATTAATACCGAATTGGCAATTTATACAACATTTGTATGCACTATGACTATGGTACAACATTTTTTGTGTAGGTACTAATATCAAGTATTTCATCACACGTACAATGGTTATGTCATCGTAAGTAAAATAATGTCATGCCGTACGACCATAATAATATTATATTATTACGGGTGTAGTAAAAAAAAAAAAAAAAACTTGTGTAGTACAAAAAATATCCGTACTTATGGCCAATGACTCGTAAGTACATCTAAGTTTCGTATGGCCTTAGGAACGATATTACGTTGGCAAGTATAATATATTTTTGTAATAACTAATAACTGTTGTTGTACTATAGGTATGTCTGTATTGTTTCTATACATAAAGTGTATGTTGTTTTCAAAAAGCCATCCGGCACTTACATTGTATGAGGTAGAAATTTAATTAAATCAAAATTAATGAATATTGCGTACGACCCTTAAATATTATATTCGTATGTCGATAGTCGTCTGTCGAAATGCTGTAAAAAATTGGGGGTAAATAATTATAGTTTTAAATATCTATGCACATGATCTACTTTTTTGCCACAACACATGCATTACAGGAAAACCCATCACGCCTCGCCTAGCTTTCTATATTTTTATTTTTGAGGGGGGGGGGAATAAAGACTAATCACATTGATTTCGACATTTCGATATTCAAATTTTGTAAGGTTTTCACAGTTTTCACAAGTTTTTTTTTTTTTTTTTATCAATAATCAAAAACCAATGAGTCCTGCAAAACATCTCCTCTTTCTAAGAAAAAAAAAAAATTAATAATGATATCAGAATTTTCTAAGAAGCGGTGTAAGAAATTTTCCTGTAAAACGTATTTTGAGCAAAAAATTACTGTTTTTATTTTTGGCCAGTGGTGCCGTTGACATCACGCATGCGTTGATAGTCCGGTATCCGTTTACAACCGCAATCCCACTAATTATTATCATTTATTGAAATATTATTGAAATATGAAATAAAACCCGGTTAAGGGCCCTTGAAATATGAACTGTGAAACCTCTTTATAAGAAACCGCCTATAATATAAGACGGAAAACCCATCACTACGGAAAAGAACAACAGTCTCGTATATTTTAGTCTCGCTACAACAAAAACTTCAGTTACGTAAAAATCAGTGGGTATCGAGTGATTCTGCTAAAAAGAAGTAGGTATTACTGAATTATAAACTTATTAATGCTTAATAAGTATCAACTAGAGTATCAATTTATAGGTACCTCCCTTTTTGAATTAAAAAAAAAAAGCTATTTTAGTTGAACATACCGCATAATGTTTCGATCTGTCATATCGTAATAGGAATTGCTGCGGGTCATTTGAAAAATCGAATAGCCCATGATTCCTAAAAAGATGAAGACGCATACTCGCCGAACTAGAAATGACGGTGCCCGTACGGTGACCATCTTCTACAGCGACTGTGAACAAAAATGATTTAAAATTGATAAAATCCAGAATTTTAAATTATTTAAACATTTAGATTTTTTATTCAGTACAACAATTATTGAAGTGTATGATTATTTTACGTCATAATACATTTTGTAACTTAATATTTTAGATTATAGTTATAGTATATAATTTCTTAATGAATACTTATAATTATTATTCAATTATAATTTATATAATATGCTACATAATATTGCATAAAATGTTTTGAACGATTAACAAATTTTAAATTATCAACATTTTTGGAAATATGATTGCTGATAATATTACTAAGTATGATTATTGATTAGGTACCAATTTAGCACGTTTTTTTGGTGTAAATGTAGTGTCAAACTACGAATATTACAGATTACTCAAAGTGTGAACCCATTATAATAAAATCGTTTCAGATAGAACTGTGACCTACAATATTTGTTTTTGATAAGCTACACCACCAGATAATTATTTATCTCAAATAGCCGGTTTCAGGTATTGTAAGTTATACTATTTATTATAATTTTTTACTTGTATCTACAGGGTGATTCACCATCCATGTTCAATCTCTTTTCTTCTTTAATAATTAAATTATTCAAAAAAATGATTTTTGGAATTTTTAAAAAAAATTTTCATATAATTAAGATTTTTTGTGCTACTTAAAGAGTGTTCTATGGAGATACAAATTACAAACCTTTGTTTTTCAAATGACAATCCCCTTTTGTACAGTGAATTATTTAGTGAATAATTTTTCTGAAATGTTGTAGTATCAAAATCAAACTTCAAACGAGTTATTTTTGAGTTTTATTACCTTTGTGGACTAAGAATAATAGGTCTATGATAATGGGTTCAGAATATATGAGAGCTCTTACTAGTTTGAAAATAATTTGGTAATTATTAATTTATATCCATTCATTAATATTTATAATTTATAAAATTTATCCAATTATAATGAATACTAGATTCAATATTACATCTATTTTACAATTTTGTAAAATAATTTTTAAGGTTTATTATTCACAAAAATTTCAATAACTGAAAAACTACTCATTTAGATTTTATTTAGATTTTGAATTAGGTGGTTACAACAAAATGTTTGAAGAAAGTATATCCACTAAGTAATCTACAAGTATGTAATAAAGGGGAGTTTTCGGTTGATAAACATAATTTTGGACCACCACAGGACACCTCTTATAAGTAGCACGAAAAATCTCAAGAATTTTAAAATGTTGTGTCTAAATAAATTTAAATATACAAAAAATCTGAATTTTCAATAAATTCATTATTAAATGAAAGAATGGGGGAGTGCATGCTTCTGGGAATCACCTTGTATGAAGTTGTTGAATTCAATTCAAATATTCTGTCATAGTTATTAATTTATTTATTATTAAGGGGTAATTATATTCAACATCAGTTCATATTATATTATGTAATTTGAGGGATTAAATTTATTGTAGAGATACTTTTATTTGACTTCCCCCCTTCTCCCCCTCTCCTCTGCTTTATATTAATTTATTACTTATCAATAACTATAAAATATAAGTATTTAATTGTTAAGATGTGCAAAAATATTCAATATATTTTTTTATAAAATAATTACGCTAAATTATGAATATAAAATTTGTATTAAATTAAAATGTAATTTCACATAGATCTTTACTAGTTACTACATATTATACTAAAGTAAATTTAAACTAAGACTTAAAGTATCTAGTATATAGAACAAAAAGGAATACCTAGCTTTGATGTATTTCTTTTCTATTGATTATTTTCGTGAACAAAAAAAAATTAAAAAACTATAAAAGACAGGAAACCTATAGTTACCTATGATTATTTTATTGCTACCCGGCTTTTAGTGATCGTTTACCTATGCTTTGTCTTATTTGCTTACCTGTTTAATATTATACTTATGAGTACACATAATGTATGAAACGTAAATATACAATAAGAAGGTTACGCGTAGTAAATTACCTCTTGCATTTATACCTTAGAAGTTATAATAGATTAATGAAATATTTGAAACAACGCACTATCATAAAATAAAATGTGAAACTTAATATTTACCTATACCTACAAACTTATCAAGAAGTTATGAGTTTATATTTGAATTTTTTGTTAGCAATATCATACTCTGTTGGTTTGGTGTGAATATTACTCCCAGTTCCCACTACCACTAGTTGACAACATAGGCGCAAATAGGGAGTTAAATTGGCGGGGGCTCAAGCCCTTTAATATATTCAACAAAAATTCCCCCCCCCCTTTCACACCAAATAAAAACATTACTATTTTTTTGTTTTATTAGCTACTAGTATAAAATGATTACTTATTAATGCACATATTATATTTATTATTAACTAGATAATTGGTTACAATATTAAATTTATTCTTCTGTTGGATTTGGCAAGTCATTTAAAACTGAGGCGCTATAAATATATTGATATCTTTTTCAATATTAATTATCCCTAAACTGTTAAATCTTTCTTGGAGCATCGTTGATCGCATCCATGTTTTCAACCTCCTCATTGCGGAAAATGAAATTTCACAAGTAGCGGAATTGATTGGCAAAGTTATTGCTACATTAAATAATTTATAATAATTTGGAAAGATTTGTTTGCTATTCAATGAGTTTAAGTGATTTTGCAGAACTTCCAAATCAACATTAACTTTCAAGACATTTTTGATAACCATCATTTCTGATCTTAAAGAATCTTTGGAAACACCGAATAAATCCTAAAAGTTATTATTTACAAATTAATTTTCAAAAGTATACGGTAAATAAAAAGTAGATTCGAACATTCAATAACATTGTTTAGCACAATTTATTAATATAAATACATTATAATAAATATGACGTTATGTCGGCAATATGCTTGATAATCGCTGGAAAACCTGCTAGCTGTTTACCAGCTAACCCGTATAATATACTCTTACACATATATATATATATAATATATTAATAACGCGAGACATGTTAATCGTGCGATAGAGTCATGATGCACATGACTGTTTTCGAAATATCGCGCGATATTTATGTTCCCAATGTTTCATAAATCAATTAATCTATAATTAAAATGTAAAAAAAATAATTATATTGACCATATTCTACACTTTTACAGTCATAGTTAGTAATCGAAAACAACATTTGATTATTAATAGGTACATTAAATTTTAATATAAGAGTAAATATTGGGGGGGGCTTAGATGGAATCAGGGGGGACTTAGCCCCCCAAGCTCCACCCTATTTGCGCCTATGGTTGACAATTTCTGTGTATGCCACTCTTTATAGGCAGAGCATATTTATTTATGTACGATGGTATTATCAAGCATGAACGGAATCATAATAAAAATAGTAAGTTTATGAATAAGTCAAAACTCATCATCATCTAATAATAAAAAATAATCAGATGATTTATTAATATAATAGTTAATACGCAGCTTCATCGCCTTGATCTTTAATTGATTGCGTAATGGATTATGCAAATAAAAGTCTATACCACAATATTTATTTTTGCACGTACGACGTATACATATTTTGAATAGTAAGTCAGTTGTAACTGATACTTAAAGAAAAATAATCTTTCTTCATAATACTATTTAATAATATGTGATACAATCTATTTGTTTTCAAAAAAAAATCACCGGGTGCTTTTCCTAACACAGAAGTTTTTCTTAAAATCGTATTAACAGTCGCAAGAACTCGGCTATAAAAAAATAATCTAACTTCTCTACCAAGGATATATTGTAGGAAATAATATAATTTATAAGTGGTGTATGTGCACGATTTTAAAATGAAAATAAATAAATGTTTTCAAGTAAATGATTAATTTCGGATTATCCAGTATCCACGCATCGATACATTTTTCAAACCATCTGATAAACTAATGTAGACTTGCGCTTATTACCTACTTATTGCAGGTCAGGGATCATCGGAAAATATGTAGTTTTTGTCCACAATAAATATAAACAGATTGTTAGCAAATCTTATAAACATAAATAAAAACTCATGAGGTACTACGATTTATCTTGGTAAATTGAAAGAAAATGTTTGGGAAAAATCTATGAATACCTACATATAGGTAGTTTTAACAATAAACAATTTTAAAACTTTCCTAAAAATCATCTATAAAATTGCCAATACTTAATTATAAGACCCCATGTTCTATCGGGGTCTGGGGCTAATATAGCAGGCATGGATATAGGGAGCTAAGTGGCTCTTTATGGACGTGTTACCTATATACTATGTATATAATTAATACTTAATACTTCTTAATATCGATAAATTAAAAATATAATTAAAATGTTGTTATTAATAATACCTATTGTAATTAAATAGTTCAACATTCTTAAAAATATATTATCTAATATTTGATATGTACTAACATTTTATTTGTCATCTTTCTAAAGAAAAAATTGTAGCCGCTCTAAGTATTTAACATTTTTAGAACATAGCATGCCCTCTTAAATCATAGTTTTGGTAGTTACTGTTTCCAGAGCCAAATAGAGAGCCCGTTATACTCGCTGAAGTAAAAACTAATAAAGATTGAGGTTTTATGATTATGCAAGCGCCAAGCAGAATATTTTTAGGTAGATAATCCAACTACAGTGGATTGCAAACCCCGAGAGGTTGGTACGTAAGCGTATAATTTCTACCTCTACATATAGTTTCAAAGTTGTACCAAGAGACGACAATAGTTTTTACTTAATACAACCTACGGCGGCTTGGATCCAATGTGACAATCACTTGTCCGGTAGTTTTTGAGGTGTTAAAAAATTTGAAGTAAAAAGCCATGAATTCGATCGTCTAGCTGTAGATATTATACTATAGTCACCTCAAGTGATTTACGTGCAACGAAACCACCCAGTATGCGAGCAGTATATGTTATCAGGATTGCATTTAAAATAACAATAATCTTATACATAA